CCCTCCCCGTACGCATTGATCTTTTCCCCTATCACACGCTAAAATTTATGTCGAAGACCAAGCTCGAATTTAATTTTCATTTTGTGGTGCCTGCTGGAAACTGATGTTATGGTCTGTTTTTTTAATCTTGGCTTACTTTGTGGTATTTCTGCCCACTTGTCAACTTTGGTTGACAATAATATCCTCTCTTGAAATTCTTACTTGAATGCACTTCACTGAGAAACTCTTTCTGCCAATTTTTTTTGCCTATAGACCAGGGATCAAGAAACCAGCATCAGGAACTGTTTTTTCACCCTCTTTGGTTTTAGAACAAAAAAGGGCTAGCTCCATGGTCTAATTGTCACCTTTTGATCTCCCCTTTATATTGGAACAGACATATTTCTTGTGCATGATCCAAATATTTCTCTTGTGAGTTAGAACCAGAAAAGGTTGGCCAGCTGGAAATCACCTTGGGAAATTTCCGGCCAAGAGCTTATTAAAGGATCATGAATATTTTTGGAAAGGAAATCATATAATCTGACTGATTGCTCCCATTCATTGCCTGCTGAGTGCTTCAAACTACCTATTTGTTTGTTATTTCTCTTTTTTTACCTGATGTTTGTTATTTCTCTCTATTGAATATTTTACCTATAATTCTATACAATTACACCTCATTAGCAGATTGTTGACAAACTTCATTGATATGGCACAGATTGTTGATAAACTTCATTGGTATGTGGAACCTGGTGACACGGTATATTCTCTCTCTAGTACATGAGGCACATACTTGTGTCATTGATTATGTCCTCTATTGAAGCATTGTTCTAGTTATTTTAAAAAGGTTAAATATGTGTAACCCGCCATTGCATATGCTATCTCTGCTGAGTGCTCACTAATGAACGATAATCAGAATGATGTTTTACAGCATGTTACATACTGTGGGTCTGCTCAGTGCTCACTAATGAATGATAATGAAAACGATGTTTTACAACATGTTACATACTATGGGTCTCTGCTCAGTGCTCACTGATGACGGTAAAGAAAATTTATGATAATGTTTGCTGTGATAACCAATCTCAATAAATAGTACAAACAAGAGCTTAACTACCTGTAGTACAATCGATGTTTTGTACTCCCTCTGTCCGGAAATACTTGTCGGAGAAATGGATGTATCTAGACATATTTTAGTTGTAGATACATCCATTTTTATGTATTACTCCGGCAAGTATTTTCGGATGGAGGGAGTACTAAGTTACAGCCTATTGTTGAGCTGTATGAAGTGCCCATTTTTTTAAATCGTGGCAGGTTATTTTAGTTTAGTTTTTAGGAGGGCTTCTGTTTTATCTGTCTTTGTTTAGCTTTGGATTATGTGGATCTATTGCGTATTAATACGATTTTACCAGTAGGGATCTCCCGTACTGTCCTTGTAAAATGCTATTTTCATTTTATCATAGCCGCCACACAGTATCACTGATTCATTGTATTTGCATCATGCCTTGATATCTTGAATTCTGTTGAATTTGAAGATAGTGGATTTCTGCTGTGGCGCAAATGATTTCAGTCGATTGATGAAAGAAAAACTTGATGAAGTTGACAAGAAGTGTCATTTCAAGAATTATGATCTTATCCAACCACAGGTAAACTACCGAGTCCTTTTGAGTTGATACCGCAGTCATTGTTTATCTTGTTTAATTTTCTTCGGGAACATAAAATCCTTGTTTTATTTATCCTCTGGTACTTTGTTGCTTTGTTCCCGATAATTGGATTAAAATTAGACAACTAGTCTTTGTTTAATCTATGATTGGCAAATCGTAACCTGGGCCAGTGGCCCACTTGACTAGAAGGGGTACTGCACGACTGGGTGACTAGTCGACGATTTGCGGTGGCTAATTGAATCTGCCTAGTAGTGCGACTTAAGCCCACTGCCAGTTTTTGAGATATATAGACTTATGTGTTGAGAGGCAGTTTGAGGCCACTACACCACGCGCTGCCAGGCGAAGAGAGGGATGAGCATCACACTAACCACACAGCCGTGTCATGGCCACTGGTTATCGCCCCAGCTCGTTGGAACTGTCAGCCCATCTCCGCCTTCGGCCTTTGCAGGTGACTCCTCTGTTCTTTCCTTTCATCTCCTCTTCCATCTTCCGTCATGCTCTGTTCTGTAGGCTATGCTTTGGTCTGCTGCTTTGTTAGCTAGTGTAGTACCTGCTTTCATTCCTAATGCGTGTACTAGCATTGTACCACTGATTTCTTTTAGAGTTAGACTGTTTGTTGATGTTTACAACACTACTACTGGTTTTAGCGTGTGACATACTTGGATAATTAGATCTACAGATGTTGTACACTAGCAAATATTCCTGTGCTTCTTTGGTTCTACCAACTAGCAAGTATCAACTAATGCAATACTATGTAACATTGGTTTCTGCAGGTCCCGTGGCTCAGCTACACGGAGGTGATGCAATTGCAGCCATAGCCGCTGGCTCAGACCCATGGATCCCGCACAGTATCAAGTTATTTTGGTGCAGTAATTGTATATAGTCTAGTATTTGTAGCTGGTGGTAGGACTATTCACGACTAACCTTAACTAGTACTCCCTCCGTAAACAAATATAAGACGTTCTAACTTTTTTCTGATTCAGATGTGTATAGACGCATTTTAGTGTATTTGTTCACTCATTTCAGTCCGTATGTAGTCCATACTGAAATATCTAAAACGTCTTATACTCCCCCCGTTCCTAAATATAAGTCTTTGTAGAGATTTCAATATGAACTACATACGGATGTATATAGACATACTTTAGAGTGTGGATTCACTCATTTTGCTCCGTATGTAGTTCATATTGGAATCTCTAGAAAGACTTATATTTAGGAATGGAGGGAGTATTTGTTAACTGAGGGAGTAGCAACTAGTCGGTACTCCAATAGGCAAAGATTTAACGACTTGTAAACCTTCCCATCAAATAGAGCCCCTGAAGCAAATGCATCAGGGCTTACCTATTGTGATCTGTTTATTCGATGGCCCGAAAGTGCCCTTACTGGAGTTCCATTTGCTTTCCCACTTTCATGCTTACTCTCAATATTTATGCCCTTCCCAGAATAGCTTTTGCTTTGAAAGGAGGGATTGGATGACTGTGCAGCGAGACGAACTGCCTGGCGGAAGCCAACTGGTATACTTTATGCGATGCAGATACTAGTGCTATACAAAATAATTCCTACTGCTGGTTAACATCTATTAATACTTGATTAGATAATGGGGCTTAATCCTCCTTTTGGAGTCAAAGCAGCTCTGGCGAACAAATTTATCGACAAAGCATTGTCTTTTAAGCCCAAGCTTGTTATACTAATTGTCCCAAAAGAAACTAAAAGGTAACCGCCATATTCCTTTCAGTTAACCTTTGTGTTGAATTGTTAAGACTGTTATTGACATCTCTTTTTCAAACTTTCTTTGGACTCTGTTCATGCTCTTCTCATTTTCTGGTATTGCCAGGTTAGATCAAAAGAAGATTCCTTATGATTTGGTTTGGGAGGATAGTAACTGTCTTGCTGGGAAGGTAAAGGGCTTATGAACTTCAATAAACCTTATTGACCTTTGAGCGTAGTTTATTCCCTTGTTGTTTTGCCTAATATATTTCTTTGAATTTGCAGTCGTTTTATTTGCCTGGTTCTCTCGATGTGAATGACAAAATAGTTCAAGGGTGGAATGCATCTGCACCACCCCTCTATTTGTGGAGTCGTTCTGATTGGACAGAAAAGCATAAGGAAGTAGCCAAGGCGCATAATCACACAAGTGTGGGAAAAACCACTCGCCGTGTTGAACAGGGTAATCTGTCAGATGATGGCCCTGCGAAGAAAGAAGCTGAATCTTATGATGTGCATAATTCAAGATCAGGGAAAGAAAAGGGGAATATAGGAAATACATCATGCCACCCAAGAGAGGTCAATCTATCGGATAATGTACCTGCACGGAGAAAAGCTGAACCTAAGAGTCAACAAAATGCTAGATCAGGAAAAGCTAAAGAGACTAGAGAGAAGGCTACATGTGATTTCAGAGAGGATAGTCCATCAGGAAAAGCAGAAGAGAAAAGGCATAAGGCGGCATGCTCTGTCAGAGAGGTTAGCCCATCAGATGACCACCTTGTGAAGAAACAAGATGGACCTGGAGAAGAGAAAGCAGCCAGAAAGGCAAACTTCACGGTGAAGAAGCAAGCTAGGCCTAGAGAAGATGAAGAAGCTAATCTGTCAGGTAGCCGCTCCCTGAAGAAACAAGCTGAAGCTACCTCTCACCAAATTGCCCGACCAGGGAAACAGAATAGCAGGGATGGAAGCAAGAGCTCTGATGACAGGAGCAGGAAAAGGATCCCTGACGAGGCAGACAGCCTCCCTCCAGAAAAGCAAGTGGAAGTTGCCTATGAGGAGACAAGGGCTATTCCAAGTAAAAGGAGTATGCACCAAGGACAGAGCAATGGAACTAATGCTCGTTTAAAGGAATCGAAAGGGAGTTCAGACATGAGTATGTCACCATCCCTTGAAAACAGCACTGCTCGTCACAGATCCAGAAGCAATTCCCCTTTTATACCAACTGAACAACCCTCTGGTTATACGACAGCGCACCGCGATAGTAATATGAAGTATCATGTGAAAGAACCTCGCGTGTCTACATTCAACAGCGCTACTACTTATCAGGGAAGTTATTTGGCAAACAGTGATGGGCGCAAGGATGCAATTGGAGAGAGGAATGACCCCACTGTTTACACGGGTGCTGATGATAGGTCAAGTGCGTACAACTCCAGCATTGAAGAGATGACCAAAAGGTATGCTCCTGGCCGAGCTGGGGATGTGTACAGTCCGCAAGGTCAGGGAAACGGTGGCAGCTTCTCCAGGAGGCAGGATGATCACCTTCAGACCAGTCTTTACTCCCTTGGTTCTTCAGGTGCTAGATATGACCAGATTGGTTCTTCAGGTGCTAGATATGACCAGATTGTTTCTTCAGGTGCAAGATATGACCCGCGATCTTTAACTTCGCCGTCTTATGGGCTGTTGAGTACAACTCCACGGAGCTCAGTCATAGACAAGTACAGTCCAGGGTTCTCGGGTTCAAGTGGATCTGGACCGTCAGTCATGGACAGCTATGCTCCTGGTTACTTGGGCGCAAATGCACCAGGAAGAAGCTTGGTAATGGACAGATATGCTCTACCCCTCGATGAAACAAACTACGCAATGCGAGGTGTTCATGATGTCCCTGGATATGGAAGGGACATGCCTCCACAGTACCCCTACAGAGGGCCAGATCCTTCTGGCAGAGGGCCGCCTCATATTTGATTACTGAAGCTTCTTCAAGTTACCCTAGCCATGCAGTTTTTTCTTCTTTCTGACTCGACCTGTTCAAAGTGACTTCTGTAATTAGGTTGTCACGGATGAATAGGTATGCAGATGATGACTCGTTGTTTAGTCCTTGCCAATGCTGTGATACCTGTTATGTGAAAATCTCGACCATGCTTTTCTAAATTTTTTGCACCATGTTTCATGGAAAAAGCTTCCAATCAACCGGCCGATCTTTCTCGCTGCATCTGCGGCTCACACGGCCGTTAGATCGTGACCCATTTGGTCCACTGGATTCGTGAGGGCGCGCGACTCGCATGAAGACTTGGTGCACGTGCCTGGGCCAACCCTATTTAGTGCAAATAAATTCCACAACATTAGTAATGTTGCAAAACTTGCTCCCGCAACATCACCTATGTTGCATGAATGTGGAGGAAAAAAGATTTCTGCAACATTACCTTTATTGCATAAAAGTGGAGACATTTTTTTTCTGTAACATCACCACAGTTGCAAATTTTCTGCAACAATACCATTGTTGCAAAAGTTACGTCATGTCTCCGCACAAAGTCTCTGTTTGAGCAACAATCAACTTGTTGCAATTTGTGAAGTAGCAACAATCAACTTGTTGCAATTTGTGAAGTCACATGATATAGCCTGTATGGTCAGAGACCGTGTGCGGGTATTTCATGGCACCCTGGCCCTTCGATGATTCTCAATGGAAGATCGGGGCGTTTTTGACCAATTCTTTTGTAAATAAAAAAATATCCGTTTTTGGATAACTAATATCTTAGGGGGATATGGGAGGCCCAGACGTGTCCGCCATCTGGAGTCTGATGGGTGGGACCCACGAGCAAACACGTAGAAACCCATTTGTCCGATGGGAGTTGAGCGGTGTGCATCCATGTGGCCGCTCTGGTGCACAGCCCGAGGGCCAAACTGCTGGATGGCAAGCCTTGACCCTACTATCTTCATTTTCATCCCTTTCGTCCACGCCGCCACCATGACCCGGTCTACGTCTTATTGTTTAAGCTCCAAGCTTGATGTCGACCGGTAGCCATGGTCGGGTTGCCTACTACAAGATGCTGACCCATGGTCTCGCAAAAAAAAAGGAGCTGACCCGATAGAGATCCTAGTGAAGATGGAGGCATGACACGTCGCTCGCATTGCAACCGGACGGGGTGATTGTAAGCATAAGGAGGAGGAATAGTTTCTCATGCCGAGATAAAAAACTCAAGCGCCATCCGTTTCCTATTTGATTTCAGAACAGCGGAATATCATCACCCGTGGTTCAGTTGACACATCAGAGTTTTTTTTTTCGCGGGATGACACATCAGAGTTTTATCCCACTACCAGTGACCACGAGGCCGATGGCTCCGGCAAGAATGTCCTTGACATAGCTGATGGCAAGTAGATCCTTTGCTTATTTTTAGCTATGTACGTACATGAATTTTATTTTGTACTCCCTCTGTTTTTAAATATTTGTCTTTTTAGAGATTTCGATGAACTATCACATACAGATGTATATAGACATATTTTAAAGTGTAGATTCACTCATTTTGCTTCATATGAAATTCATTTGTTGAAATCTCTAGAAAGACAAATATTTAGGAACGGAGGTAGTATGTGCTAATATGGATTGAGGATCCGAAAATGGAGACTATGATTGCAATGTCTAAAATTGAGGGGTGATACTATGGACACGTCCGAGATGTATAGGGGTCTAGATTTGTGCAGTCCGGGTATACATATCTAATACCCAACATCTGTAGCGATTCTTTGTAGAAATAAAATATCAGAGGCCTCCATAAACTGAAGAAGGTGGAGCTGCACTCAAGTCCTCATTTGGTGCTCGAGATCTGCAACTCCTGGAGCCGGTGGACATTTTATTCTGAGCGTCACGACACAAACATCAAAATTTATTAATGGGGTTTGACGAACTCGATCTACTTCCCGGGCCATGAGTATTGGCGCTCCTCACATGATATTGTGGCCGCCCGAGTGCCGACACACGCTGTTGCCTCCCCTGCATGCCTGTCTATACCCTCCCGGGGGTTCTACAGGAAATCAAGTCGGACTCCGGCACTAATTGTATCCTATCCACACTCACACATAATATTCAACACAAACTTAACTTGATGAATATTCTTCACCATCTTAAATTTGTCCATGTGTTGAACTTCCATGTACTTCGGTCTTGGGTGGCCTCCTTCGTAGATTATTGAGAGCTATACGACGAGTCTGACTTGCCCTAGACCCATCGTCTCCATGGTACCTTGCTGCTACTCCTACAATTCTAGTCTATGTGGATCCACCTACAAGTGCATCTTTGCAACTTGTAAAGGTCTGAAGCGGTCCTCTCATTGACAGAGCCATGTGCAATCCAGCAGGGGCCGCCGCCAAGTTTTTGCCCTCCCTGGTTTTCTCTTGCACCCAAGAACCGCCAATGAGTGCTCTCTCCCATCATTATGGTCACCTCATCCTTCATGATTCTCATGGTCCTCGTCAAAATGGAAGAGCATACCACCATCATGAAGAATTCCAAGCAAAATGATATTCCCTCTTAGCCCTGGCACATGGCTGACTCTCAAAGCACTCGCTTAACTCCGTCAAACAACTTGATTTTGATGTCACCTACTTCAGCAATACGACTAGCCGATGCCATCAAGCATATAGGCTAACCAAACTCACTAGATTTGAACGAAGAGAACCACTCCTGGTTGGGAGCCACATAAGAAGTACTAGCTGAATCCAACATCCATGCTTCACCTTTAGTCCACGTGCCGATACTACGAGGACACTATGAGGACATCACTACGGATATCTGAGTCATCACCAAAAGCTGTCGTGTTAGCACTTACGATTGAGATCTGGACAGTCCTTCCACGTATGTACGCGCTGCTTACACTTGTGACTCGACACCTTCTTTTCCTTTTCTTGTCCTTCCCTACCCCATGTCCTTTCCTCCCTAGCTCACACTTGAGCAGAAAACCTTCACCATGAGAGACTTCTACTGTGTTCTTCTTTCTCATATCATAAGATACTGAACTATGATATTTTTCAAGCTTGGTGCTGTTACAAACTTTTAACCAATAACATAAAGTATGCCCAATCTGTATTTGTTTCCACATGCAGTGCATACAAATATGAGAAGTGGCAAAGGAACTGAAAACAAATTCAGGGACAGGCAGTGATAGGTTGAGGTATTTCTTTAAAATTTTCAAGTCGGAAAGCTGGATTTCGTTTGTACTCCCTCCGTTTCTTTTTACTCCGCATATAAGATTTGGTTAAAGTCAAACTACACAAAGTTTGACCAAATTTATATAAAAAAATATGAACATCTACAATACTGAAACTATATAGTATGAAAATACGTTTCATGGTGCATATGATAATATTGATTTCATATTGTGAATGTTTATATTTTTTAATATAAAGTTAGTCAAACTCTACAAAGCTTGACTTTGACCAAACCTTATATGCAGACTAAAAAAAAACGGAGGGAGTACTTACAGTAAGCTATTACTACCAAAATAACTACACAGCATGCTACTGACCCAAATGATCTCACATAATTCAGGGGAAACAACTTAGAAGATATAATAAACCAGAGTCTTTTTTGTTGACAGGAACTGCACATCTACAAAACATCATATGACTAGTGAAGAACGAAAAGTTTAGTGGTGTTTGCATTCTCACAGGTAGCACACACACACACACACACACACACACACGCACGCACGCACGCACGCACGCACGCACGCGCGCGTGCGCGCGCGCACACACACACACACACACACACTGTTTCAGTCATTCTCCAATCTTGCAATGTACTCATCGTAGAACTTGCCTGCCTTCTCGAGCTCACCAACTTCGGTGTAGCAATCGGCTATTGCCCCATATGCCTCAGTGACACCTGAATCCTCTCCAGTCATCTTGGAGATGCTGAGAACCATGGAGTGGTACTTTATTGCTTCCTTGTAATTTCCTTGTCTTTGCAATGATGCTCCTGATGAACGCAAAGGACTTCCGTCAGTTTGGATTCACAATAAATAAATAAAAATGGGCACCACAATGCTTGCAATTAGTACTGCTACTCTGTTTATACGATTCAGTTTGTTATGGTGAAATTGTATTTACATTATCATGTTCAAACTACCATTGGCATGTTCAGAAGGGCGCAAATTCTGCTGAGCTCTCTAGGCAACGAAAGATGCATCAAAGCACAATCAGTTTCAAATGTGCGTACGAGCAAATGATAAATGAAATTCATGCCAAACAATGACGGACCTAATCCTCGTGCCGCCTTCTTCTCTTCAACATGATCACCCAAAGATTGTGCAAGATCAAGAGCTGCCTTAAACTCGGAAAATGCCTTGTCTGGAGCTTGGTTTCTCAGGTAGTTCTTCCCAGTCCTCAGATATGCGAGCAGGCGCTGTTTGTGAGGATCAACAATGACTTCTGATTCTGGTATCTTACTAGCAGCCGGTGCATAGCTCAAAGCAGGAGCATAAGATTCGATCTTGGCTTGTCTTCTCAGTGAAGCATTTATCTGACGTAGCTGATCATTAAGCTTTTTAAGTTCCCCTTTCCTTTGTCTCGCAAGGAGCCCTGCATGGTTTCTGAATTGTTCAATGTAAAGTAGGAAATGTTGCACCTCCAGAGAGGCAAACATATTACGGAGCTTACGGAATAACCAAGGGAAAATAAGTACTACATGAAGTAACTACTGAAATGTCATTTTCTGTACAAACAAGAGCATGATGGAAAACGGACATCACAAAAGAAACTGTCATTGCCGGAAATAGTCATATAGGCAAAAGCTAACTGCACCATGCTTGAACAGGCTGAAAGAATTCGTCTTTAAGGATACATACACATTTTTTTCATGTAATAAATAACAAGCAAAAAGACAAAAGTGAATGTGTGTTTGTCTTTGGTTTTCTTGAGTTGTACTTGCGCCATGTCTTTGGTTTCGTTGAGTTGTACTTTGTGCCTTCTCGGTGCTCTCCTTCTAATACAATATGACACACACTTTGGGGCGCTTTTGGAGAAAAAAAAAACGTTATAAGGCTGTAGATTAGATTTCTACGCCTCCCTGAAGTTGTCAGCAGTTCAAGTTTTGCATATTTTTTTAATGTTCCAGATATTCATAATTGCTCAAGACGTTGAGGAAGTATCAGAAGAAAACATACTATATAAGGAAAAACAATTGTGTAGTGTTGGGCTGAACCTTAAAGCTACTTTGCTAGCCACAAACACTTTCCTATGTGCTAAGATCCTGTTAGCTTACAATGTGATATTACCTCCAACAGTAGCACCAACCATGGCTATCGCAAACAGCAGCGGCATGTTAGGAAGAGAGTACCCCGGGTCACATTCTTCTGCCAAGCAACTGGGTGGCATCGCAAGCATGACAGCACTGCTGGTCACCAATGCTTTCCCGAAACAAGAAGATACAGCTTCCTGCAAAGAGATATGAGTCGTATAACGTTATAGCTGAGACATCAACATAACTGCATCTGCAAGCAGTTCAAATGGAGCTCTACTGAGAATTGAAATAATACTATACTATCCGTTGAAAACACATTCAAGGCAAGTAAGGCATATTTCAGCTTTATGCTCAATCAAAGGTCCGGTCCATCTTGATTATTCGGTGATACAACGCTAAAAATAGATCGAGAGACTCACCATCATACCTGAAGATCAGATGTAGACTTGATAAGGAAATGACCATGTCCATTAGCTATATCAAAGTTGTCGCTCCTAGGACGCACCGCATCAGTCGACGATGAGGCATGTCTAGCTACAAGAAACATTCGCTCTGCGGGACAGAATTACATAACATGTCAGATATCATTAAATGGCATGTAGTAGTAGAATAAGAAACAGTCGATGCAGTAATAGATTGTGCTAATGACAAGGTTTTTGACCAAACATTTTGCATCTAGCATTTTTAAGAAGTTGATGAATTATGACAAGCATACCGAAGTCGAACATAATAAAAAAAATATGCATCTCCAATCTAACGCTGGAAAGCATTAAAGGCATGAAGGTCAAGGGGATAGTCGCCATCGCTCAGGGATGCCCCAACATTACGGTAACGAGAGATACAAGCAATACTGCAATAATGTAGGTGGATGGGAGGCGATGAACACTCACCTGAGGTCTCGGGGAGTACGGCGTTTAATCTCGTGGTAGAACCTCCGTGGCTTCGCCGGTACTGCGGCGACGGCGCCGCCGCCGGTGGGGAGAGACGCATTAGAAGCGGCATCAGGAGGATAAGGAAAATCTCCTCCCCTGTGCCTGGTTGGGTGTCGCTTCGGGAAGATGATAAAGTGCCTCGGTTGTTTTTTTGCGCATAAGACCCGAAAATATTAAAATAATACATCTTGGTTTGAATCCCCAGTACCCTGATTTTGCGTCCCCAGTGCCCCCTTGCTCGCGCGGGGCCACCTTGGATGCGGTGAGGCGCCTGAGTTCCTCCTCCGGCGGTGTCTGATTGGTGTTTGCCGCCGATGGAGCTGATCTAAGCCTCGGGGCCCCTCTAACGGTGCAGGACAGGCTGACGGCCAGAATATCAGCTTTTGACCGCTTATCCGACAAGGTGGGGGCAGCTGCGCCTTCTCGAATCCAAATTTCAAACAGCTTGACGGAGAGAGGGGCAATTCGGCCATCAGATCAGGCTAATGTGGCAGCCCAGGAAGGAGCGAGTCCTGCTGAGAATGTCTCTCCTGTCTTGGATTCCGTGCCGCTGCCAGAGGCGACAAGGGAGTTGGTGCTGTTGGGGAACGTAGTAATTTCAAAAAATTTCTACGCACACGCAAGATCATGGTGATGCATATCAACAAAGGGGAGAGTATTGTCCACGTACCCTCGTAGACTGAAAGCGGAAGCGTTCTGACAACGCGGTTGATGTAGTCGTACGTCTTCACGATCCGACAGATCCAAGTACCGAACGTACGGCACCTCCGAGTTCAGCACACGTTCAGCTCGATGACGATCTCCGGACTCTGATCCAGCAGGGTGTCGGGGATGAGTTCCGTCAGCACGACGGCGTGGTGACGATGATGATGTTCTACCGACGCAGGGCTTCGCCTAAGCACCGCAACGATATGACCGAGGTGGAATATGGTGGAGGGGGGCACCGCACACGGCTAAGGAACGATCACGAAGATCAACTTCTGTGTCTTGGGGTGCCCCCTGCCCCCGTATATAAAGGAGCAAGGCGGAAGGCCGGCCGGCCCTTGGGGCGCACCAAGGAGGGGGGAGTCCTCCTCCTAGTAGGAGTAGGACTCCCCTTTTCCTAGTCCAACTAGGAAGGGGGAAGGGGGAAGGAAAGAGGAGGGAGAGGGAGAGGGAAAGAGGGGCCGCGCCCCCTCCCCTAGTCCAATTCGGACTCCCCATGGGGGGGGGGGGCGCCACCTCCTGGGCTGCTGCCCTCTCTCTCCCCTCAGGCTCACCAAGGCCCAATACTTCCCCGGGGGGTTCCGGTAACCCTCCGACACTTCGGTTTTCTCCGAAATCACCCGGAACACTTCCGGTGTCCGAATATAGTCGTTCAATATATCAATCTTTATGTCTAGACCATTTCGAGACTCCTCATCATATCCGTGATCACATCCGGGACTCCGAACAACCTTAGGTACATCAAAACATATAAACTCATAATGAAACTGTCATCGTAACTTTAAGCGTGCGGACCCTACGGGTTCGAGAACTATGTAGACATGACCTAGAACTGTTTCCGGTCAATAACCAATAGCGGAACCTGGATGTTCATATTGGCTCCTACATATTCTACGAAGATCTTTATCGGTCAAACGGCATAACAACATACGTTGTTCCCTTTGTCATCGGTATGTTACTTGCCCGAGATTCAATCGTCGGTATCTCAATACCTAGTTCAATCTCGTTACCGGCAAGTCTCTTTACTCGTTCCGTAATACATCATCTCACAACTAACTCATTAGTTGCAATGCTTGCAAGGCTTAAGTGATGTGCATTACCGAGAGGGCCCAGACATACCTCTCCGACAATCGGAGTGACAAATCCTAATCTCGAAATACGCCAACCCAACAAATGCCTTCGGAGACACCTGTAGAGCACCTTTATAATCACCCAGTTACCTTGTGACGTTTGGTAGCACACAAAGTGTTCCTCCGGTAAACGGGAGTTGCATAATCTCATAGTCATAGGAACATGTATAAGTCATGAAGAAAGCAATAGCAGAATACTAAACGATCAAGTGCTAAGCTAACGGAATGGGTCAAGTCAATCACATCATTCTCCTAATGATGTGATCCCGTTAATCAAATGATAACACATGTCTATGGTCAGGAAACATAACCATCTTTGATCAACGAGCTAGTCAAGTAGAGGCATACTAGTGACACTTTGTTTGTCTATGTATTCACACAAGTATTATGTTTCCGGTTAATACAATTCTAGCATGAATAATAAACATTTATCATGATATAAGGAAATAAATAATAACTTTATTATTGCCTTTAGGGCATATTTCCTTGAGTCTCCCACTTGCACTAGAGTCAATAATCTAGATTACACAGTAATGATTCTAACACCCATGGAGTCTTGGTGTTGATCATGCTTTGCTCGTGGAAGAGGCTTAGTCAGCGGGTCTGTGACATTCAGATCCGTATGTATCTTGCAAATTTCTATGTCTCCCACCTGGACTAGATCCCGGATGAAATTGAAGCGTCTCTTGATGTGCTTGGTTCTCTTGTGAAATCTGGATTCCTTCGCTAAGGCAATTGCTCCAGTATTGTCACAAAATATTTTCATTGGACCCGATGCACTAGGTATGACACCTAGATCGGATATGAACTCCTTCATCCAGACTCCTTCATTTGCTGCTTCCGAAGCAGCTATGTACTCCGCTTCATACGTAGATCCCGCCACGATGCTTTGTTTAGAACTGCACCAACTGACAGCTCCACCGTTCAATGTAAACACGTATCCGGTTTGCGATTTAGAATCGTCCGGATCAGTGTCAAAACTTGCATCAACGTAACCATTTACGATGAGTTCTTTGTCACCTCCATATACGAGAAACATATCCTTAGTCCTTTTCAGGTATTTCAGGATGTTCTTGACCGCTGTCCAGTGATCCACTCCTGGATTACTTTGATACCTCCCTGCTAGACTTATAGCAAGGCACACATCAGGTCTGGTACACAACATTGCATACATGATAGAGCCTATGGCTGAAGCATAGGGAACATCTTTCATCTTCTCTTTATCTTCTGCAGTGGTCGGGCTTTGAGTCTTACTCAACTTCACACCTTGTAACACATGCAAGAACCCTTTATTTGCTTGATCCATTTTGAACTTGTTCAAAACTTTGTCAAGGTATGTGCTTTGTGAAAGTCCAATTAAGCGTCTTGATCTATCTCTATAGATCTTAATGCCCAATATGTAAGCAGCTTCACTGAGGTCTTTCATTGAAAAACTCTTATTCAAGTATCCCTTTATGCTATCCAGAAATTCTATATCATTTCCGATCAGTAATATGTCATCCACATATAATATCAGAAATGCTATAGAGCTCCCACTCACTTTCTTGTAAATACAGGCTTCTCCAAAAGTCTGTACAAAACCAAATGCTTTGATCACACTATCAAAGCGTTTATTCCAACTCCGAGAGGCTTGCACCAGTCCATAAATGGATCGCTGGAGCTTGCACACTTTGTTAGCTCCCTTTGGATTGACAAAACCTTCTGGTTGCATCATATACAACTCTTCTTCCAGAAACCCGTTCTGGAATGCAATTTTGACATCCATCTGCCATATTTCATAATCATAAAATGCGGCAATGGCTAACATGATTCGGACAGACTTAAGCATCGCTACGGGTGAGAAAGTCTCATCGTAGTCAATCCCTTGAACTTGTCGAAAACCTTTTGCGACAAGTCGAGCTTTGTAGACAGTAACATTACCGTCAGCGTCAGTCTTCTTCTTGAAGATCCATTTATTTTCAATTGCTTGCCGATCATTGGGCAAGTCAACCAAAGTCCACACTTTGTTCTTATACATGGATCCCATCTCAGATTTCATGGCCTCAAGCCATTTTACGGAATCTGGGCTCACCATCGCTTCTTCATAGTTCGTAGGTTCATCATAGTCTAGTAACATGACTTCCAGAACAGGATTACCATACCACTCTGGTGCGGATTTTATTCTGGTTGATCTACGAGGTTTAGTAACAACTTGATCTGAAGTTTCATGATCATCATCATTAACTTCCTCACTAATTGGTATAGGTGTCACAGGAACAGATTTCTGTGATGAGCTACTTTCCAATAAGGGAGTAGGTACAGTTACCTCATCAAGTTCTACTTTCCTCCCACTCACTTCTTTCGAGAGAAACTCCTTCTCTAGAAAGGATCCATTCTTAGCAATGAATGTCTTGCCTTTGGATCTGTGATAGAAGGTGTACCCAACAGTTTCCTTTGGGTATCCTATGAAGACACATTTCTCCAATTTGGGTTCGAGCTTATCAGGTTGAAGTTTTTTCACATAAGCATCACAACCCCAAACTTTTAGAAACGACAACTTTGGTTTCTTGTCAAACCATAGTTCGTAAGGCGTCGTATCAACGGATTTTGATGGTGCCCTATTTAACGTGAATGCGGCCGTCTCTAAAGCATAACCCCAAAATGATAGCGGTAAATCAGTAAGAGACATCATAGATCGCACCATATCAAGTAAAGTATGATTATGACGTTCGGACACACCATTACGTTGTGGTGTTCCGGGTGGCGTGAGTTGCGAAACTATTCTGCTTTGTTTCAAATGTAGACCAAACTCGTAACTCAAATATTCTCCTCCACGATCAGATCGTAGAAACTTTATTTTCTTGTTACGATGATTTTCAACTTCACTTTGAAATTCTTTGAACTTTTCAAACGTTTCAGACTTATGTTTCATTAAGTAGATATATCCATATCTGCTCAAATCATCTGTGAAGGTGAGAAAATAACGATATCCGCCACGAGCCTCAACATTCATTGGACCACATACATCTGTATGTATGATTTCCAATAAATCTGTTGCTCTCTCCATTGTATCGGAGAACGGCGTTTTAGTCATCTTGCCCATAAGGCACGGTTCGCAAGTACCAAGTGATTCATAATCAAGTGGTTCCAAAAGTCCATCAGTATGGAGTTTCTTCATGCGCTTTACACTGATATGACCCAAACGGCAGTGCCACAAGTAAGTTGCACTATCATTATCAACTCTGCATCTTTTGGTTTCAACATTATGAATACGTGTATCACTACTATCGAGATTCATCAAAAATAGACCACTCTTCAAGGGTGCATGACCATAAAAGATATTACTCATATAAATAGAACAACCATTATTCTC